TAAACGAGGTCATTTCAATACAGTAATAAAGGAGAACACGCGACCAAAAATAAACATTTTACTTTAATTTTAAGTTATTTTTATATTAATTTGCATAATAATCAAGGCCGGATTAACCCACTTTGGGATCGTAGATATTTTCTTTTTACCAGGCCCCTTTCTCTCCCACAAAAAATAAGCATGCAAAATATATAAATTATAAATAAAACAAAACAATGTGAAAAACTAAAACAAATCTTAAATTTTTATTAATAAAAAATATTTAATATATAACAATAAATTTTAGTTTTTCTAGAAAAGTTTAAACAGTTTATAATTTTTAAAAAATTGATATTTATTTTATTAAATGTCTAACAAAAGTTGTTATACAATAACAATATTACCTTAAAATATTAATTGTTTAATTTAACCTTTTTTGGTTAATATTTAAATAATATAATATTTTATCCATGAAAAGTAAATCGAATAATGAAAAAGATAATTTAAATTAAAAGCCAAGATAGTTTTAAAAAATTAAGTATATAAATATGAATAAACTTTATTTAAAAACCCTGTTTTCTAGTCTTTAATTCAGCAAAATTATCAACTATTTCATTAAATTATCCAAAGCATTTTGTTCGATGCATAAAACAGCTAAAGAATTTAATTTTGATTCACTCAGTGAGTTTCATAAATAATTTTTTACACGTTTTAATAATGAGAATGTCTGTTTAGTATTCCTCGATGCCTGCATCGGGCCGTTCAACTGGCTATCTACCGGTATATACAGTATATAAAATTACGTCCTGAACTAACTGATTCATCATCGCCCAGAGAAAACCGCTGAACCTAGAGGTGAAATTGGGTACACAGTTAGTCTACATCATGAAAATACACACTAAAAAAAAAAAGGAGAGATTTTTGGAAATTTCCCCGCGGGGGAGAGAAAGAGGATTAAGGCTTAATCTGAAGAACGGCTATACTGTACTATTTTAGATGCGATTTTTATTTTTGATAGAAATAATTTAATTTCCAAACGTATAATATTTACCGAATCATTTGCCCGTGCAACGCCGGACTCATTTGTTAGTAATATAATATAATAGAAAGATTAGAAGTACGAAATAATCTAATAATCTTAACCTTTGCTGTTATTTTTGCCCGGGCTCATCATCTTGTAGTTAATTTTATTCTTATCGCTATAAAAAAAAATTCTAATTTATCGGAAGAATTACTTTCAATAAGAAGAAACATAAGAATACATTTTCTTTATATTTTAGAATTCATAATAACCATATAAAAAGCAATTTATTTTTGTTTATTTGTTTATTACAGTAGAGCGTCGATTATCCGAAAGTCAATCATCCGAAAGAATTCCAGTCAGTAAATTTAAATTTTCGCCAGTGCTGTGGCGTTGCAATCTTTGGCTATATCTTGGGCTACTCAAATATTTTACGTTTTTGATACTAAATTAACTTCTGAAGTGTAATTTTTTATTGTTTTTATATTTTTCAATATATTTATTTTGTTCGTACAAAATAAAAAAATAATTTTTAACGATACAATAGTCTTCGTTAGGCTTAACATCGACGAAAATTCAACGCAAAGCGACACGCAACGGAGAAAAATGTCAAGATGGGATAAATTAATATATTTTTTCGTACATAATCGGTTATCCGAAACATCGATCTTCCGAACAATCCCAGTCCCCAATTGATTCGGATAATCGACGCTCTACTGTATATACAGTTGTCCAACAGAAAAGTAAACTATCTTATTTACAAATCTTTTCAAAATAGACAGTTTAACCGGGCCCTAGACATTTGTCTCATTTGCCTATGCGATGATCTTGCCCTGTATTGAAGTTATCATTTAGTACACTATGTATTGTATTTATCAATACTTTGACTTGAAAAAATGGTTAATGACAACTATTAACCTGGTTTCCCTTAGCTGGAGTTAAATGTGCAGTAAAGTATAGGATTTATGCTGGATCAAAACTAGGCCATAGTAATCAACAGTTGACGCTAAAAGGAGATAATGCTAATGACGCTACATTTTGTATTTTGTATTGCACATCAGATCTTAATATTCTGCACTTATTTCGTATATTGAATGATTAAAAAATTTGGTATTATCCTCAGAAAGATTAAAATATTTTAACAGTAACTGAGAAAATGATAGCATTTAATCTGAAATCTGAAAATAATGGATGCTTTATTAAATTTAAATGTAATTTTAAAATTTATTGAAATTTTATGTTAATCCAAATTGAATTCAATTACAAACATGAAATAATTTAGTTCAAATTATTATTAGGCAATTTATTATATTAGAACTATGTTTTAGTTTAGTTTTTATATGTAATTATAAGTAAGTTATGAGATATGAAATTATTTTGAAAAAGAGCTGTCCCTAAATGACTTCTATATTGAGAGGAAAGAATTACGATAAGTCGGACGAGGATTGAGCTTCAGTGGACATCCATTTATTTCATTAAATTTTATAGTGCATGCATTTTATTATATTTATTTCAAAGCTTCGTTTGTTTCGTTTCTACTTATACATCTACCATTCATAATGAAGGTTTTAAGAAGGTTGAGTTTTATTAGACATTCAAAGAGTAGGAGCTTACGGAAACTTCGACAAACTGAGACAAGAGGGTAGAGGGAGTAAAAATTTAAAAAAAAGCGGTCGAAATTTATGGACAGCCCCAAAGTTGCTTTCATTTTCTATTTTTAATTAATTTGTCATTGTAGTATTAATGCGGATATTTCTTAAAGCGGATTGCATATGGAATTTTACCTAGTGGATTGTAAAAATCCTAGATTCCAGACATTAAATTGCATTAATTAAATTCTTTGTCTCTGTATGCCTGTTCAGTAATTCTTCACAAACAGTACTAAGTTGATGAGAATTGTTTCCTATTATTCATGATACTGACTTCTTTCACAATAGGAATCAACATCAAGAACTGTGGAGAGAGAATTAATTAATGATTATGCAGAGAAATAATGAACAGCAATCTTTCAAATTGCCAATTAATAATTGATAAAACAGTGGATAAATTTTATACCCCTTTTTAATTTAGTTTTTACTGCATGTTTAGTGCTTATGAAAACCTCAATGATTACTTGCAGAAAATTGCTTTAAATTTTTTTCTTCTATACTTCAGACTTTTGATATATTGTTTTGTATGCTTGAAAAATCTACACAGTATAAACAACTAAAATTTTTTTCTAATACCATATAAACCTGAATCCTACAATCTAAGTTGAAATGAAAAGTCTTCATTAGAGTTGAAAATGTTTTCAATGTAATTGCAAAAAAAGGTAATACCAATATTTTTACAGACTTGTTTCAAATGTAAGCAACTTTTATACTCACAAAATACAAGTTTTAAGAACTTTGTAGAACTTTTTAACACATAACTTGGGAAAACTCCTCCTGATTCAAGCTCATTACATTATTGAACCATACTGGTATTAATAATAGGTGTCAAAACAGTATTCTGTGAATAAAAAGTATAAGTAATAAATTAAGTTAGGAGATGAATCAAAATTCTCAACAAGTTCTTACAGTACCTCAATTCTAAGAACTATAAAAGTTTATCTATTTTCATATTGTTTATATTTAATTACAAATCCAAGCCTTTAATAAATACAATTAATCAAATAACTTTTAATGCCAAAATGCATTTCAGCTATTTTCTGTCTATGAAATGTAAATTTTAAAAGGAAAAAATTAAATTTCCAATAATTTTTCTTTATTAATATTAAAACTTTACATAACAATTTTCTTTCAGCATCCTTTTTTTGTTTATATTCATATAAATGAAATACATTGAAATGATAATTATATTCCATTTTTTATAAAAATACATTTATGTGAAACTTTAAAAATTAGAATTGCCAATTAAATATTGAATTTGATAAAAATCTATTAATTTTAATGAAAAATGAAGATATAAAATTTGATAAATAAATATGCTAATACATAAACAGATATACATTATATTTACAATTTAAATACAATAAAGTATCTTTACAAAATTTATCCAATTTCTATTGATATTCAAAGTTTTTTTATGAAAATATAATGCTATCCATTTGGCCACAAAATACATCTGATTTCTCATCACATTAATTTTATTTACTATCTTTAATCTACAATATTCGCTACTTATTAATAAAAACTTTTAAATTGTATTCTTCTAATATTAAATAAGAAAAAAAAATTATTTCTTCATTTCATTCCTAATAAATTTAAATTATTTAAAACAATTTTGTTTGAAAAATATACTGTGTGATTTTTTTTTTTTAAATTTTTGTTGTAAATAATAATGTTGAAGGGCAATATTATGTTTTAATTTAAAATGCTTGACATTGAACACACACATTTTACTCTTGTTTAATTTAAGAATTATTTTGACATAGTGTTCTAATTTATTCTTGTTGAAATTCTGCAACAGAATTTAAAAATTAAGAAAACACAATCCTTATGAATAATGTGAATTCTTATAGTTTTATACAGATGTCTAACTTTTTGAAAATAAGATTTATATATAATTTAATTTGATAAATGTATGACAACTATTGTAATAATTTGTTGCATGTTTGTGTGTCAAACTGCCATAGTTAAGATGACAGAACTATAAAATGGATTATATAGCATGATGTTTTCTGGACTGACAGGCTATCATATGAAATTTATTGATGCTGATAGATATAGAAGATAATCATTTTTCAAATATTTTTCATAACACTGATTGGTGATGCAATATTACATATTGGCAACAAAAATTCATACACACTGAAATCAACGATATTTTGGACCACAGAACATAACACTTCTTTCTGAATAATAATAAATGATTACAAAAAAATCTGGACTATGTCTTCTTTGTCCCTGCATGCCTGTTCAGTAATTCTTCACAAACAGTACTAAGCTGAAGAGAATTGTTTCCTATTATTCATGATACTGACTTCTTTCATAATAGGAATCAACATCAAGAGCTGTGGAGAAAGAATTAATTAATGATTATGCAGGGAAATAAAGAATAGCAGTCACTTCAAATGCCAAGTTTTAATGTGATTTTGATATATTTTTTAAAATAAATATTTATTCATAAGGGTTCATATGCTATTAATATATTACTATATACAAATTATGCATAACAAATAAAAACAAAATTTCAAGTTGTCAAATAATACCAAGAAATATATCACTAATTATATCATCATTAATTTCACTCGATAATTATCAACATATGCGATTATTTCTAGTAATAGTTTTAGACTGCAATTCTAAGTTACTAAATAATAATTATTAAAAATTATTGTTTACATAATTATTTCATGTTATCTAATTTGAATCTAATTAAATTTTCATCATTATTCGAAAAACAAGAGAGTTTCAGTGGCAGTGAATGTGCATATTTTTCTCAGATAATAATAAAATTTCTGTAATTAGGTGAAAAAATGGGAAATTGCTAATCTATCACATATTTTGTTTGTGTTGGATGGACTAAACATCCATATCAAGTGCCATAAACATTTTGAGATAAATAATTCTAAACTGTTTTAGATAAAAAGCAAATAAATTCTGATAAAAAAACACATACAAAATAACCTTGCAGATTTTATAAATACAGAATTGTCTTTGAAACTGAGTTTTATTTACTAATTAAATGATCATACTTCAGTCATTGAATAATCACTTATGTCAGAAAAAATGAAAACAAGTCAGTTTTTTCAGACTATTTAAAATTTTTATGTTATGTTCTCCCAATGTTACCATTTTTAATCTAATAACTGTGTTAATTAAAGTAAATTAACATATGTTTTGAATGCCAAAGACTGGAAACAACTGTTAGAAATCATCATTTATACTAGGACAATTTTGAAAAGTTTACTGCAAATCCTAGATCTTTTGAAAATGAGCCATCAAAATCTTTCTTCTCAATGTTTGAAATGTATTGTTCTTTAGCTAATTCAATACTGATTATGTAGTTAATATGAAAACTTAATAATGATTATTATAGATTCATTCACTTTATTTTGGTTTAAAAATAATATACTATTTTGAATGTATATGTAATTTATGTATTATTTGCTCAGTTTATATAATAAAATTAATTTTACTTATTGGAATTTATAATATATTTAGAAAAACTCAGAATTTTGGAATAATAATAAAAATATTGCAAGGAAATTTGGACTGATCACAATTTGTATTTCAAGCAATGTTTTGTATTAAATATAAGTTCATTTAACTTAAAAAATTATTACTACTTTAAACAAAGTATATTATGATTAGAATAATGTAGTTTATTTTTTATATAAATAATTTTATGACAATATAATTCACATGACTGTTTCAACAAAACCATCTATAGATTTTGAATATTTTACAGTTCAGCTTTGTTTCATTAAAAAATTAGATGAATGATGATCATAGTTAATTTGTTTGAGTTTTATACATTCACAGATAATTTTCATTGATTTCCTAGAATGTGGCCACGACCCCAATTGTACCTTCTCTGGTTGTTGTCATCTGGTTGTCTCCTTGGTGTTGGAGCTTGTCCAAAGCCACCAAATCCTCTTACACGGTTTGGAAAATAATGAAGTCTAAAAAATAAAATTTAAATTATTTCTAATTTTTAAGCTTTTGTTTATCTTTTATTCTATACTTACAATATGTCTGGTGTTCTCAACAAGGCACGGCCTCCAAATTCTTGAGGATATTTAAACTTAAAAAAGAAGTAAAGATGTCCAACAAGAATACCAATGAGTTCATATAAACCTCTGAAAAGAAATTATTCCATTTACTGATACTAAGGCTATCTATACATATGAAATCTTAATTTGATATTTGTTAATGCATTCAGTTCATAATCATGTTTTTAAAATATAATGGAATTAAAAAATTTCAACATTGCTCTCAGTATCATATTAACACTGGTTTCCACCATTGAAAAAATTGCAATGAAATAGCAGATTCCTTTTTGTCAAAGTGTATTAAAAATTAAAAATTTTGTTTTTTGAGTAACATTATGGAATTATATGTGATGATGCAAAATTTAGTCACAGGAACCTACTGGAGGATAAAATGATGAAATCATCATCATCATGACTATCTGGAATATATAGTGGGTTCAGCAGCACTCCAATAGTTTTTAAATTATTAGTAGGAGTGCTGCGTGTATAATTACTGTGCTGTCAGCTATATAAGACTCATAATACTTTGTTTATTTTCCAATGACAAGGTAATGTTTAAACCTACATCTGGTACTTTAAATTAGTTTGCTATTTAACACACACTTCTTTGTTTGGGGTTCTATGAACCCCACCTGTATATTATTAATACATGTAAAAATTTTTAGCCTTGATATTCTAATAATTGATCCCTCTGGGTCAGGCACTACATCTTAGTAGACCATAGGTGTCAGCTGTCAGGTACCAGGCGATCCCATTCATCTGTCTGTCAGGTGTGGAGGCATGGCCTGTCAGCTATATAAGACTAAAGGAACTCAGACTCAACATGTCTGCGTGTGCAAAAACCAGTTGGACTGCTTTTGTTACATTTGTGGAGAAGTGACTTGAAAGCACAACGAAAATCTAATGCCTCTAGTGAAAAAAGCATATCATTGTTATTTCGGCTGTAAGGTAGGAGATTGAGATGAAACCTGGGCTTCTTATGCTGTAATTCACGTATACAACATAAACTAGATGGTTGAATGGCATGCACAAATCAGTGCCTTTTGCTATCCTTATGGTCTGAAGGAAACCTCAATCATTTGGATGATTGTTACTTTTGCATGTCTGAAAGCAAAAGCTTTGCAGCAAAATCAAAATGCAAGATACAATAGCCCAACCATCTTAACCATTGCCCCATGATGAATCAATGTCAATAATGGCATTGATTCATCATGAATTTCTTGGGAGGTTCAGAAGATGAATCCAATCCTGAACACACCTTGCCAAAACAACAATCAAATTATGATGAGCATCTATCATGGAGTCCTGCAAAAAAGTCACAGCTCAGTCAGTCTTGATTGAATGATATGATTTATAATTTGAATCTTTCAAGAAGAAAAGATACTTGTGTCACATCTCCAGCAGTGGAAACTTTTGGAGAAAGAAGTTAAGGTGTCCTGTTACAGAAAAAGGAAATAAGAAAATGTGAAATTTTTTTCAATGGAGGAAAATCTCATTTTTTGAAATGATATACCGCATTTGTTGGAGGAGCTTCAGCTGCCAAAGAAGCTGCAGATTTGAGATTTTTTATTGACTCAAAGTTCGATCTTAAAGGAGTTTTGCCACAGAATGGCAACAAACACCTGTCTATTATGGTTGCTCATATGAAAGAAACTTTAAACAACATGAAGGTAATGCTGGACATGATAAAATACAACGAGCATAAGTGGAATGTGTGCACTGACCTCAAAGTTGTTGCAATGCTAACATGTCTTCAAGGAGGATATACAGTCGACCCCCGTATAAGATCATTGATTATTCCGTTTTATATGAATTCCATGTTGTACAAGTCACTTAAATTTTACAAATACGTGAGCCGTTCACAGCCCGGTACACGTATTTGTAAAATCTAAGTTACTCGTACAACATAGAATTCATATAAAACGGAATAATCAATGATCTTATATGGGGGTCAACTGTACTAAATTCTGCTGTTTTTTTATGTAAATGGGATGGTTAAGCAAGAATGAGTCACTATTTGCTAAAAAAGTGGCCTAATTACTTAACAAATTTAGGTCAGAGAAATATTACTTTTCCTGCTCTGGTGAAGAAAACTAAAACCTCTTACCTGCTCTTAATATCATACTCAGTTTGATGAAAAACTTTTTGAAAGTTACAGACAGAGAAGAAGGCTTTCCTTAGAAAAAATTTTTCATGTCTGAGTAATGTGAAAGTAAAGGAGGGAATTTTTGTTGGTACCCCAAGCAAGACAGTGTTTGAAGGATCCTAATTTCAAGGAAAAACTTAAACCAGCAGAAAGGACAGCATGAGGCATGAGTTACATTTGAAAACGTTAGCACAAATGTTCTGGGGAATCACTTAAGATGCATTTCCTACATTCCCATTTAGATTTGTTTTCTTCCAACATAGGAGCTGTTTCTGATGAACATGGAGAAAGGTTCCATCAGACTCTTCCTCAAATGGAAAAGCAGTATAACAGAAGGTGGAACAAAAACATGTTAGCAGTATGAGTACCAGATTTACTGCTGCACTCTACATCAAGAGAATTCAGAAGAAGAATATACAAGGAAGAAAACATGTCATTAAGTGTTTCAGTTTTGAATGTATATAATAATAAAAAATGAGTAATTAATATAAATTTACTTGTATCTAATTAGCCAATTGACAATGTCCGTAGCCAATAAATATATTTTTAACAGAAAATGTTTTCCTTCAAAAACCTCATTTTTCTCAAAACTGATAGGTGTTAGGCCAATTCTGTTGCCAGATTCAGATTCAGCACTGTTAAAACTATAGAAATCAGTGAAAATGTTTGACAGGAGCAGAAATAAACATTTTTTTTTTGCAGAACAGTGTATTTGTTTAAAATTATATGTAATAGTCAGTTTTATAATAACTGAAGCTAAAACAATTACATTTTCTTGGTTGATTTTTTCTATGGCATGAATAATATTTCTTACATTTTAATACAAAAGAAATTATAATTAAAAAAAACTCAATATTTACTACTACTAGAAAAAATTAATTAAACTTACCCTCCACTGAAAAGCACATTAAATGCCAAAAGCACCCAAGGTAAATACAGTGCCTGAAACAATTAAAAAAAATTATTTTTGGAAACTAAATAGAGCTTATATATTGTAATTTTTGAAAATTATAATTTAATAATTTAAAACATACTTTAAATCTTATTACTTTGAAAAAGTAATTTGTTGAAAGCATTCAATTTAGACATTTAAAATAATTTAAATTATGAATGATATACAGCTTTACCAATGGGTATAAGGAATCAAAATTAAATATAAAGCTGCAAGAAGCCTTGGAAATATACAAGGCTGGCCTGACTGGCAAATGTATTAACTTTAAGGATGGAAAAACAGTCTTGTATGCATGGCAATTAAAAATGGGGAGGGCCGACAAATTTAAATTTTATTAATTGGTATTAAATCATATCTTAAATTTTTATATTTACGACCATAAACTTTTGTTGTTATATAGTGTTGTTTTTTCCTATTTGGAATTTTCATTAAATTAAAGACCTGAGGCATACTTTGGTCAAAGTCAAAAACATTTGTAAAAAGTTTTTTTATTAAAAATATTTTGTGACTGAACTTTAAAGGTTGTTTACAGTTTGTTTGTGATTCATTCCAGAATTAAGAAGGTAATTTTAATATTAACATTAAAATTCTATTTGCAGGATATGTAAGATTTTGATTTTTAACAACTTTTTAATTACTGCTAATTTTTTGAGTCATTCATTATTGACAGCATGGAATAGTGAGAATGCAGAACTGAGAATAATAAATTATTTTTTAAAAAGTTAGCAGTGGATGTTAATAAAAGAAAATTACAACAAACTGCTACACTTTTAGAAATAAATGAAAATCATCAACATTATCAATATTTTTAATTAACATAATTAATTAATTAACACAATTACACTGAACTAAATTTTTATATAATTTACATTCACACATGAGTAACTAATCATACTAAATTATTTAAACAAGAATATAAAAAAGTAAACATTTTTGAAATTAAAATTTATATTTTATTCAAACTAAATTTAATTTAACATTTGTTATAAAATACCATGTGTAAATTCAATTCAAACTACTTTTCTTAAAGCAAAATTAGAAACTAAGTATTTTTAAGCTTTAAGAAAAGGCTTGAAATTTTATTTGAAGCAGTTATCATTCTGAAAACTGAAAGAACTTCAGTTTTCTTGGAGTAAAATTTTTTCAAAAGACTACTTGAATTAGATAAACATTTTATCAATACTTTTATATTTAAATAATTAAAAATATTAAGTGAAAATTTTTAACTTATTATTTTTCAGTTTAGATTTACTATAATTTCAGTTTAATTATCAAAATAAATTCTTACTTTAAACTGAGTTCCAAACCAAAAGTTTACAATGATATCTTTTTTCAGTTGACACCAAACGTAAAGTACACTTAAAACCAGTGGATCCATCAACAGCTAAAAGAAATAAAATTTTTAATTAAAAGAAAACTGTATTGTAAATAAATAAAATAAATTTTAATGTGCTTTACCCATATTTCCGCAAGAAAGCCAACAATCTTGTAAAATATTAAGGAAAAATGATATACAAAATATAACAACAAAATATAATTATAATTTTCAACTAATAAACATATGCAATCAATAAAACAAAAAAAATATTTTTTGTAAATTAATATTTACAAGCTTTTATCCTATAGTTGAAATTTACATTAAAATACAACAAATTTTTAATCAGTTTTATAATAAATGACTACAGTATTTGAATTTTAGACAGGATTCTCATACTTTTTATAGAAATGCCTTAAAATTTTCCATCAATTGTAATTACATTAAAAATATACTCACGCAAAGAAAGAAAATAAAAGGATACAAAAAAAATCCAAATATAAATTTTTAATGAAAGATAAATTTTATACAAATTTTAAAATGTTTAGCTTTATATCACATATTTTACTTGATTCATCTATAGTAGTGATTCTCAACCATTGTGCCGCAAGATTTTTGAAATGTGCCACCACTGCAAATACCCATACATAAGTGACATCAGACAAGTAGTTCAATTAGTTCTACCTTCCTAGGGCATGTTTGGAAATTGTAACTGCCAGTTAGCAAGGCATTTAGAAAATGTGACCTAAAATGTAACCAATTGCATTTAAAAATCACTGTCCTGCATTACTTACCAAAGTAACTGTGTGTGCCACCAAATTTTTAAATTATTAAAAGAATACTGTGACGAAAAAAAGTTAGAGAATCACTGATCTATAGGTTAAATATGTGGAAGACTCCACTTCTTTACAATGTTTTCTTGCTAATAACTTATCAAACTTCTGAGAAATCTCAATATTGGGAAATCAGAAAAGATTTCTTCATGAATTTATACTATTGTTAATATTATTTTTCAATTTATTATATTGATTTTTTCATTTTTCTAATTTATCATATTTTCCTTTTCATATATCATCTAAATTGTTCAAAGTTATAAAAATGATTCAAGTTATGAATTATTGATAGCATAATCCATTTTACTTTCAGATCTGTTATCTGCATTTTTCATGCTTATATTATGCAGACAGTTCTCAATAATGTTAAGATCAGGATTATTACCTGGCCAATTTCAGGTTCTAATCTAGGCTTCTTGTAGAATTTTTTTTTTACCTAAAGAGCAATTTTTGAGTCAATTTAAATAACAATAATGCTTAAAAACCATACAGAAAGGCTATATTATACTTTACTCACTATATTACAGTGAAACGGCATAGAATTTATCTTGGAAGATGCAACATCTCACATCACAAAACTGCTCCTTGATCAATGGAATTAGCATGGTAGATAAGATGTTTTTGTAGCATTCAACATTAATAAATTCATTTATAAAATTTAGTCTGTTAACATCTTTACTGGATATACATTTCCATATCATTTGACTCACCAGAAACTTTACTGTCTGCATCAAGCAATACCTATTATAGGTGTATCCTTTTCTACATCTAATATACTATTTGTTGTCAGATCCTTGCAGATTAAATTTGAATTCATCCAAAAACAACAGAATCCTATATGCTAACATTCCAATCCACATTATGCTTAGCTCAGAAAAGCCACTGTATTTTGGTCATCAATAATGAACTTATGTGGATGGTAGGCTTTTAAATTCATGTTGCACAGGCAGCATAACAGTTTATGCACTTGCTTTTATGCCCATCTGTTCTGCCTACTTTGCTTGCAGTTTGGAATAATATTCTTGCAGGCTGAGACAATTTAATATCCTGCCACAGTACCATGGTATATTCACACTTTTACCTCCTGATTCAGAGTTTCTTTTGATGTTTTCATAGTCACATCTCCTTTGTAACAAACACAACTGATTGATGACAATGCATTCTCTGCACTATTTCACAAGATGATAAACCATCATTCAAAGCAGCAATTACAGACTTTTTTGCAGGTGTTAACTGTCTAAAACTCCCCTTCTGCTTATAAAAATATTGGGTTGATGCAAAAGTTCGTCCCGTTTTTAACACCAACTGGCTAAAAGCACAACACTGAAGCGTTATTTCTTTCACATGTGTAAAATTTCGACGTTGTTTGACAGAAGGGATCTCAGCTAGTATTTGAGAATAAAGTTGTCTTACTTAGTTGTGTTTTTAAAATTTTGTTAAGCATTACAAATGGCAGAAAATAAGGAGCATTTTCGACATATTATGCTTTTTTATTTCCGAAAAGGCAAGAATGCTTCGCAGACACAAAAAAAGATATGTTCTGTGTATGGTGAGGGAGCCATTGATGATTCCACGTGCCGTAAGTGGTTTAGAAAGTTTCGTGAAAGCAATTTTAACCTTAGCGATGCACCACGTTCTGGACGACCAGCCGAGGCTGATGACGACAAAATATTGGCACTAATTGAAAGTGATCGACACAAAACAACTCGAGAGATTGGAGAAATTCTTGGAATCAATCAGTCAACAGTGTCAAGGCGATTACATCAACTTGGAATGGTAAGCAAGGCCGATGTATGGGTGCCGCACGAGTTAACAGAAAAAAATTTGATAGACCGAATTTCTGCTTGCGATTCTCTATTGAAGCGCAATGAAATTGACCCATTTTTAAAGCGAATCATTACAGGTGATGAAAAATGGATTGTGTACAATAATGTTAAGCGTAAAAGATCATGGTGTAAGCACGGAGATGCCCCTTCAACCAGCGCAAAAGCCAGTTTACATCCAAAGAAGGTTATGCTATGCATTTGGTGGGACTGGAGGGGAATCATTTATTATGAGCTGTTACCTGAAAATCAGACCATTAATTCAGAGAAATACTGTTCACAACTAAGTGAATTAAAGCGAGCAATTGACCAGAAGCGACCTGAATTAGCCAACAGAAAGGGCATTGTGTTCCATCAAGACAACGCTAGACCACACGTGTCTTTGGCCACCCGACAAAAACTTTTACAACTTGATTGGGATGTTTTGGTCCATCCACCATACTCTCCTGACCTTGCACCCTCTGACTACCATTTATTTAGATCACTTCAAAACAGCTTAGATGGTAAAAACTTTACTTCCTTGGAAGACTTGAAAAATCACTTGGATCAGTTTTTTAGCCAGAAATCTCAGAAATTCTATGAGCACGGGATTATGCAGCTACCGGAAAGATGGAGAAAGGTCATCGAACAGAATGGCACATACTTATATTGATTAAATGTAAGTTTTAGTAAATAAAATTTTTCTTTGATTCTTTTAAAAAAAACGGGACGAACTTTTGCATCAACCCAATACATAATCTGCATGTGTTTTATACCAACAGATGATATAATCACCAAAAACATTGCTCCAGGAGACTATCAGCCAATGAAATGTGTTCTCATGTTTATGATGTCTTGGATGAATGTAGTTTCTGGCAGATCTGCAAGAAAAACATAATTTGCTTTAAATTAAAAAGCAAATACACTTTTATAGAGTTTATGAGTGATATGATTACATGGCTGTTAATGTATATCAATTATTTTCAAAACAGTAATGTAGAAAAAGTTGAATTCCTTTTGAATAGTTTATGTTCTTGGATGAAAATCTTTGATGTTAACCCATAAATAACATAGTGAAAACATACTAATATCGTGCAAAGGCCATATAAAACTTTTCTTAGCTGAATCCAGCTTATAAGAGACATGGTCATAAAACAGTTTAATGTGTTTAATTTATAAATACACTGATGCAAATTAAACAAACATCAAGAGGGTAAAATAAATTCAATGTTGAAAATAATAAAAACTTTTAAGCTGTAGAAAGGAAATTTAAATAACATCAATTGATTTTCACTTAAAATATTTTTTGTTGAGAAGTCAAAATGAATTATAAAACTTCATTCAAAAAGAATCTTCATTATCAGACATTTCTTGAATCTCAACATTAAAAATATCAATAAGAGAATTATTGAAAGTATTAAAACTTTCTAAAAATTCTCAAAACAAAAATAATTCTAAAACCATCTAGAACTTTCCAAAACTTTTCAAACTCCAAATTTTTCTACTTCCCACTTGCAGGCACATCTTCACCTATCTCAAAAACATCTGCAAATTGTCTATTTCATTAAAAAATTTAAATTTTATTATCTAGGTTTGAAGGGGTTTAAATAAATGTTCAAAAGTAAAAAAATTCTCCATAGACATAATATTAAAGATGTTACTACTTTCTAGAGAAAATACCAGTACAAATAAGTGTCACTTCTAAGCCTTTATATTTCCGGTACAGTTCAAGTATAATAGATGAACAACGTTTTCAATTCTTTGTCCAGAATCTGCTTCAGCTTCACTATCATTCCAAGTGTGGAATGTCAATAATTAGATACACCACTGCCCTGGCAACTCCGATGTAATGGCCAACTTGGACAACACCAGCATCGTAAAGAAATCCTTCCAGATAGACCACATCAGGGCCTTAGAAACACTAGAAATTTACAAGCCAAGCAAATCGGGGGATTGTATAAACTACAAGGAAAGTAATGCAATATCGTATGCATGGCGATATGCCTGTGAAGACCTTACGCATCAATAATTATATTTTATCCCCTCATAGTTCTCCCACAGCATTAAAATACAGTCTTGGTGTACATCCATTCAAATCCTTATTATCAATTTATTACTGGTTAAAGCAATTTTTATTCAAAAATGTTCGAAATTCTTGGCATTCCACATTTGGAATGATAGTGAACCTGAAGGAGATTCTGGACAAAGAATTGAAAATGTTCATTCCTCTATTATACTCGAACTCTACTGAAAATAAAAAGGTTTAGAGGTGACAACTAAAGATGTTACTTGATTTTTACCAATTCAATTATTCCAGTATGTTATATACCTCAAAGTGTTATATCATTTACCATGATTTAGTTGAAATTTGCTTTCACAACATTATAAAAATTTTTATTCAAATTTTTCTGCTTTAATCACAATAAACAAGATGTTGATTAAATGCTGGGTCCTTTCAAATTGGAACTATAACTGTTTTTAATGAATTCCTAGATGATTTTTTTAATATAAAAAGTACAAGATAGATTTTTTTTAATATAAAAAGTTCAACAACAGAAAATTTGACATTTTCTGTTGTTGAATCAATTGAAATTAAATAACATTAATAATGTCATCAAAATATCATTACAACTATTATAACCTGCAATAACTTGTTATTGTTACAAAAATAACACAAGTTGCAACACCATATTTTTTATGACAATACACATTTCAGACACCTGTCCAAAATATATAATCACCATCAGCTGCCATTATGATTTAAAAATACATTAATTCACAATAACTACCTAAACTTGCTTACAAATTAAATTCAACATACTTTGCTTGCTGCATATAACTTTAACAAACATTTGTGTTTCAATAACATAAGTGCAATATATGTTTTAACTAATTCAAATTTTAAATAACATGATTTGTCAACATTTATGTAACTATAATAAATTAATATATTTTAGAATTACATACTAGGAACTGACATGGGCAAGATTCTTGAAATGCATATTCTCACAATATGAAATATTGTGTCAAAATGCATATGAATAATGCTGTCACAAATGGAGTGCTGCAACTTAAATGAATAATTTTGAAAAAGTCTTCCATTGCCTATTGAAATGAGGAATGAGTATTCAGTTTATGCAACATAAGAAGAAATCAGTGTGATTTCAAATAAAAGAATAACAATTCTATATTTATAATTAAATAGAGTTTGTTAAAAAAAATATGTATTTTTTTTTATTTATAAATTATCATATAAAAGGATACAACAATGCAGATCCAATTGAATAGTAACAGGAACAGATAATCAGCAGGCTGATTTGAAAAAATATCTGTAAAGATTATATATGCTTATTAATTTTATTTAAATTCTTGACAAAATATTTATCATCAAATTTATTACTAGAAAATAAATAAAAATATCACATAAGAAATGAATTATATGAAACTCTCAAACTCAAACAATAAAAAAAGGATACATCGAAAAAACCTTTTATTTTTGAATCATATTAAATTCAGCTTCAAATACAAAATATATTTTAAAAAATAAATTATGAACATAAATGTTACAAGAATAACAGAATATTTAAACACTTGATTATCTAGAATAAAATATAAACATGACAATGTGTATAAAAAGTAGTGATACTAATTTTAACACATTCAGTCTTAAATACATCTTGAAGCATCCTACACCGCCTCACCTAATATACTGAAGACAATCAAGTGCATCCTCAATGTTTATCACTTGGGAAAATTTTATCTTTTGTTTATATGAAAGTTTATTTTTATCATTTATTGTGCAGTACATTTCAAAGAGTATATTTTGTCCTTTGATTTTATAATAGTATTCTGTGTAGTGATTTTTTTATTGGTACAAAATTATTATTAATTACAAAAATTATATTTTTGTAATTAATAATAATTTTAAAAAATAATTTTTAAAAAATTTTAAATTAATAATAATTTTAAAAAGTTTTACAAATGTATTAATTTTTCTGTTTCTTTCTTGAAATAAACTTTTATTTACAAATTTAACAATTTATATAATATATAGTCACACCTGTCTATAATGGAACACCAAGGAACTGAACAATTCTTCCATAGTAGATAGATTTCTGCTGCATACAGGTTACCTACTATAGGTATCGCTTGATTAATGCAATTAATAAATTTCTTGATGTATACCACATATATCAAAATCATGTTAATCAAATACAGTGGAACCTCAGTACTCGACCAAGCAATCACCACCCACTTTAACAAATTTTCAGTTAATAACAAATATTTTTATTTTAACTTTAATTTTTTCATTCATCTGTAAAAAGTTCTCTAAGATAAAAATGAGTAACAAGTTGAGAAATAGAATAAAACCTTACAGCTACCTACCTTCGTTAGACAAAATTATACTTAATTCAGTTTGTTTTCTTCATAAATGAAAAAAAAAAAAATTGCATGTGGAACACAATCATCAGCATGTTTTACAACCATTACATAAATCATCCTTGATCAAGATGAGTTACTAGTATTAATCTTATAAATCAGAAATTTGATTTGTATACTAAGAAGAGAGAGGCTTTCATTTTTTGTTGTGTTTTCCCCCATTACCATTGATCAGTAAGAAACACTGCAATCTCTATTGGTTTATTTGGTATACTAGTAGATGCAAGGTACAACTGCACCATTGTAATTGAAAAGAAATTAAGTTTTCATATTCATATAATAAAAGATATCAGAGAGATCATCTTGCTTATCAATCATGGAAACTAGGATCAATCAAAAGAAGGAAAACTAAAGGATTGGCTATATAATTGACTTAAAACTGATTTAACAGGCATATAAATAATTATTTTTCATTTATTCCATGGAATTCTTAAATTAAGAATGTTTGGGCACTATGTACTCTCTCCTCCTCTGATCCCTCAATGGCCAATATAACTACAGTAACTTAACCCAATCCATTAAAGTGCATCTTTAGTCTACTCCCTGTAACTAATGATAATTTCAGTCATAATGCTTCACCTAAAAAAGCCAATAGATATGTAACATTTCCATTTGGTATTTTTTTCTTCTATTGCCAGTGTGAAGTCCAGGCTATGCCTAATTGACCCCTGTGGAGTTTTATACGAACTTTTTGAACCTTCTTATTGCTGAATGTAAGTGATTACACTCTGAAGTTTCTGACACCAAGTAGGTCATGCCTGCCACTCAAGTTTTTGAGTGTTTTTGTGAATGGCAATAAAAGTCTCATATGTGAAACTAGGGATAAGAGGATGGAGTAGGAAATGCCGCGATCCATTTGAATGCGACAACTGACCAAAATCATCCGTTCCTCCTCATATTCAGAGGTGAAAATTCCTTAGAGATGACTAAAAGTTAAAGAAAAGGTATCATAAGATGTCACTATTGACTCTGAGAAAGTGCAAGTTGACACTCTCTCAAGTCAGAAAGTAGACATATACTAGCTTCTTATGAGGTCATCATCAGGTTGTTTTCCTTTAACTTGTTTGATTCTCACAAATATCTTTCTGCTAAGATGATGTTACCATACACTAATGTAAGACATCAAATGTTTTTACATGTGGTGTGGCCTCTAACAAATCACATGATTGTGTGATTATAATTAATACATATTAATAGTATATTATATTATTATAATGTTTATAAAAGTACTATCAAAACTATAATATTCATACTACATACAATATTTATCATCACTGAGGAAGCTATTTCAAGCATGACAAATATATTTTTAATTAATTTATTTTTTGTTTACTTTTATAATCTGTATTAAACTTTTAGCAGGATTCAGTACGGTACTGTAATTACAATTCTGTATGACATTTTTTCTTAACCTCACTTAGGTAACCATCTCATTTATGTGGCCAGAAACTATACATGGTCTTAAGATGTTCACATAAGGTTTTACTGTTTTAACTTTCCGGTACTGCTTAAACTTTGTAAAACAAACATTTTTGGCCTCACTCGAAATCTGTTTCAGGTTACAAGAAAAACCGGTTTCTGATCTTAAAACAATTCTTGCAGTACTGGAAAGTTAAGGTTAAACAAGTGAGTATGAGATTGTTCAAAAATACCGGTATTCAGAATAGAAGATATTGTGACATATATATACACACATAATTATTTTATACTGATTTTATATTTATTCATTTAATTATTATTTTAGTTTACAAATATTCAAAACTTATAGTTTTTGTCAAGTCACATAATAAGATGTACAGTACTTTTTCACTTAGATTTATCATGAAAATGTAAGTATATGACTTGAGTTTATTTTATTTCATTTGTTCACAGACAAATGGATAACTTTGACTTTTACTGCATACATTTATGAGCACTTAAACCTTACATATTAATAAAGTTTTTCTAAAGCTAAAAAATATTTTTCAAAAATACATAAAATTATAAAAACAACTTTAATGGATCACTATACATACCTGTTTCTAAACGTACAGAGTAGTTATACAGAAAATACAGATTTAGAAGATAATGAAATCCTGTTCCTGGATTTAGTGGATAATAGAAGACTGCTGTTATTGGTCTCCATAACTAAATTTTAATTAATTAAATTTATATTAGTATANAAATCCATGGGATATAAAATTGTCTTAGAATTGTATAAATTAAATACAAAGTAAATAATAAAACTTAAGCTTGGTTTTCATAAATATATAATACATCATATAACAAATGAACAATAAATTTTAACATTTTTTATAATTCAAAGTAAAATACCAATTATTTGCTGGCATTAATGTAGAGAAGGAGATAATATACTGAATCAATTTCTGTAATTTACACTAATTGACCATTACTCAACATATTAATAGGATTGTTAACAGGAAATCATAGTTAGTTTGAAAATTCAAAGGACAAAATAATTGTGACTGAATTATCTAGTTTCAAATTATCCAAGATTTACATATTTCTATACAATATGCCAAATGACATGTAACTGATGTAATTTATTAAGCAAACTAAATATAGCTACATAAACAGAATGATATTTTCATTAGTTAAAAATAGTAATAATATGAATGTGAAGGTAAACAGTATATGTCCAGTGAGAACCTCACAGGTTGCCAGCTGGGTTTTATGAAAAAGTAAAGTATAATTCCTTGAAATGTAGCCCAAAAAGTAGTAAGTCACCCAAATGTAGTAGAGGCCTAGAACCCCATATATATCTCAATTTACTACTTGGAGCTCAATCATGAAAATGTGTTACTATAGAAGCAAAGCCATATTGACCAGATTAGAGTTATTCTTGTTTTAATATGGAGACACTTCAATCTAAACAAGCAAGTTAACATATGCATATCACACTTTGGAGAGAATTTCAAAGTAGCCATATTTCAAATTAATCAAATTCCTTAACATGTAAATCTCTATATCTCTGGCCAGGACAAATAGAACACTTATGAACTAACAGGATTTTAAACTATCTGAGTTCAAATTAACAAGGATTTCCTGTAATAGTTTTCTAATAAAACTAGATTTCAAATTTGTACCTATTTTAAAATATAATCCTCTCAATATTCCAATATTACCATTGTCTAATCACTGATAAAATCTATAGAAATTAATCTAGAACAAGGGTTTCCAATCTTTTTCTGAGAAGGACCATATAAACTGTAACAGACAAGTTTAGGAACTAAATTTGGAAGATATAGTCAAACACTAAGATTTTTCTCTTTTCTGAACAACAGACTTTTCTGAACATCAATGTAAAATTTGCAACTACTTCTTTGAAAGAATGTCATCAAATTGAGACTGTATTTTGTAATGCCCTTGGTCATATTAGACCATTACATATCCATATTAGACATTACAATTTCCTTTATATATTTGTTGGATGGTAATTTTCAACATTTTGACCTTATATATTTCATTTTATAAAAGATTTGTTTGCAAGGGTACATAGAAACGAAAATAGAAAACATTCCTTTTGCAAACTTCTTAAGATTTTTAAAATTCTCTTCTGGCAGAGATTTGTAAAAATTTAACAAATTTTCTTTTCCAAATACTTTTTTTTTTTTTACCCACTATTCCAATTCAAATTTTTGTTGCTGAAGATATGAGTATAATGCAGGATGTATCAAAAGTCACTATTACAAGAAGTAATTGGAATTTTGAAAAACAGGTTTTAATTTGAAAAGGTTTTATTCAAAGTATATGTTACAAATAATTAATGTTCCACATGGCAACCATCAATGACTCTAAATAGCTAAAAGCAATAGGAACACTTCCCAGCATTTATGGTGTTATCTTTGAACTGCATCAGTAATAAGATTTCTAAGTTCAGCAACATTGCTAATTATCCTACCAGTGTATACTTTAGACTTAATGAAACCCCAAGCATAAAAATCTAAGTGTGTTAAATCCGGAGAGCATGCTGCCCATACTCATGGTCTGCCACAAATAATCCAGTGATTCCTACCTACAAGTATATTGACAGTGATATTCCAAACCTTATTACTAAAAAAAATAAAGTATATAAACCCTTTCTCATAATTCCAATTAGTTCTCATAATAGATAGTGACTTTTGATACATCCTGTATATCAAAAATATGAATTATACAAATAAAGTTGAAATTAAAATTTTTGATTTTTGGTTTGCTTTGCCTTTATTAAGTTATGGCAATGCAACACTTGGGCAATCTGCTTAGGGGGAGATGCCTTCCAGGAGGTCTTTTAAGGGTAATTCAGGCATTACAGACATGGAGAAAAACTGGAAAACTCCACATAGCCAGCCTGTTCTGGCAAGGAACAAACCCACAACCGAACTCCCAATGTTTAGGGAATGGAATCACTTGGCCAATGCTGGGCTTTTGATTTTTGAGCTATACAAATTTATATTATTAACGCCCCAAAAACCCGAATTTGTAAAACCATTCCTTTTTTTCCCATCACCTGCTATAAAATTTACTCTAAAAACCTGTATGTTCTCTGCAATCCTAAAATTCTCACTTACCTATAATCCTTGTAATCCAAATCAGTCTAGAAAAGCTAATTTTTCATAATAAGATAAGAGGGAATCTGTATGATGCTAGTTTCTAACTACTTTGTTCTTCACAACTTCTATATATTTAAAACACTTATCTTCATTGAATACATATAATTTACTACTATTACAATTTTTATTGTTTGATGCATTTAAAAGGGTCTTATAATTTCCAATAAATTGAAATTGAAAACTTAATTTTCAATTTCAATTTATTGCTTAAAATCGAAACGTTGGTTGTGTAAAGGCACCGAATAAATTTTTAACTTATTCACCATCCAGTATATAGTTTATTTTATAGCAAAAGTACACTATTCTTTTTCATAATTAAGAGAAATATGTTTATTAAAGCAATTAACTAACTAATTAGCAACTAACTAATTAACTAACTAAAGCAAATAATTAACTAACAATCACAATCAAGTTTTGTACACTAATATTAATTTTTTATTCATTGCTAAACACTGTTAAATGAGGACTTTTGTTTTTGGCAAAATATCATCTGAGCTTTCCTGTTGACCTTAATATAAGTATCAGCAACATCTTGATTTTTCTCTACTTTTTTCATAAAATCTGATATTTTCATTTCTTGCATTTGTCTAAGAGATCTTTAAAAATATAATCTTTTTATGTAGTAACTTTTAATTTAGGCTTTTTTTAAATTAAGCTAATTTTTAATTAAAACACAGTGAGTCTTTCAAGTTCATTTAAAGCACTAATACCACAGACAGTGAAACCTAGTTCATAGGAAAGCTAGAATAGAAAGGTAGAAGAAAGAAGAAAAATTGTACAATCAGTTTGCATTAAAGAAAACTGGGCAAAAGATACTAAACAATATTGAAAATTTCAATATTCTAAAATCCATGGGCAAACATGAGACAACATGCATCATTGCTTGAATAAAAAAATATTGAATGACAATATTTGCACTTAAAAATTGTAATGTTTGTATAGGGATATCCCCAATTCTCAAACTGTGTTAGAGTGAAACCATGATGTAGGAATGATATGTTGTATAAGGGATACCTATAATTTAATTCTAATTAATCATGGTGTTTATCATTTCATTATTATTTCAAGCTTGGTTTTCTATACAATTTATCATCATTTCCATACAATTCAATGTGTCAGTAAAGTGACTTTGTTAAATTTGTATAGAATAGTTGACAATGCCAAAAGTATATAATAAAACTCTACTGAAAGAAAGATTCAAATTCTTTATCAGAATAAGAAAATTCACAAAATAAAATTTTAAGTTTGACCAAAATACTATAAAGCATGGCTCAATTCATAATTAAAAAATATAAATCAGGAAATTTGCAGATTAATAAATAGTGTTGCCACCTTTTCAAAATCGTTGACCCAGACAGCAGGTCAGGTTTATTCAAACAGAAGTTTCTGACGCATGCGCAATGTCATTTTACAATGCAAAGAATAACATGCAGGTTCTAAATCATTAACAGTTAGGGACTTGCGTAGGAGTAATGTAAGTAACCCTAAATTAAGAAAGAACATGTACAGATGACTTAGCTCTATTGGATATTGGAGATGTGTACATCTTACATTAAAAAAAAAAGGGTCGACAGGTCGCGCACCACACATCGACATAAACAGACTAACATGGCAGAATTGCAGATGAGTTTCAGTGAGTGCGAGTTCTTTCGCTGTTAAAATAGTGTAAATTTGTAAAAATATTTGCAAGAACTTTGTTTCATCGTAATTTCACAATTTCTATGAAATTCTCAAACAAAATTAATAGTTCATCCAGACAGTGAGTCAATTCCCAGACTGTCCAGGTGAAAACTGGACGGGTGGTAACACTATTAATAAACCTCATTATGGTTGGCAGAACATTTTGACAGAAGGATGAGCAGCAAATTTTAAATTACAATTAATCTAAGTACTAGTACATCAAAAATACATAAACTTGAACAAGAAAGTAATGGAAAACAGTATTTCATACTAAATAAATTATGGATATAATAAATATCAAGTTGCTATGAAGAAACCATGGATAAGTAAAATAAACAAAAAGTAAAAGTTAAACTTACAAAAAGTCATTTGTAAGAAACCAAAAGATTTTTGGTAAAATTATTTACTAATGATTGTAAGTTTAAAGTGTTTCAATTCAAAAAACTCTTATGGCGTTTATATGGAGAAAACATGGAAAGGAATTTAAAAAGAAAAATCTCATACCCATAGAAAAATACGGATGGTTGTTTGATGACCTAGGGTAGTATTACCACCCATCTGATTTTCACCTGGACAGTGAATCGATTCCCTGACTGTCCAGGTGAACTACTAATTTTGTCCGGGAATATCGTGCGCAACCTGTTGACTTTTTTTTTTTTGCCCGTACGATTCGTATTCGTACACATCTCCAATATCCAATAGAGCTAAGTTATCTGTAGTTGTGTTTTCTTATTTAGTTACTTGTTACTCCTCCCAAGTCTCCCTAGTCCCTAACTGTAACTGATTTAGAACCAGCATGCACTGCACGTTATTCTTCGCAATGCAAAATGACATTGCACATGCATCAGGAATTTCTGTTCGAACAACCTCACCTGCCGTCTGGGTCAGCGATTTTGAAAAGGTGGCAACACTAACCTGGGGTTATATGTATGCAGTTGGAATGGGAGAAATCATTTCATCAATGGTATTATAGAACAGTATGTTTATTTAAACATCTTAAAGCAGAACTTGCATTCTAGTATAGAGAAACTGGATGTCAATGATAAATTTGTATTTCAACAAGATAATGGACCAAAACACTGATAGATTAGTGAAAGAATGGATATTGTACAATGTTCCTAGATAACTTCTTACATCTTCCCAGTCCCCAGATATGAACTCCATTGAACATTTGTGAAAACATTTAAAAAGATGACTGGAGAATCATGATATAACTATCAAGCAAAAGTTTAGAATACATTTCATTCCTGAATAGAACAATCTTACTTCTAAAATTACAAAAATATTGATTCCTTCAATGCCACAAAGACAGCCACCATGAAATCAAGTTGCAATCCAACTAAGTATTAATTAAATTTATGTTTTTTTTTCTTTGTTACACATACAACTCAGATAACCACACACTTCTGTGAATCACTTCCCCACATTGTGTATATCGTATAAACCATTTCCCCACACAGCTGTTACACTAAAAACCTTTTGCCATTGGTTTCGTCTAACTTGGCAGAGAATTTTCAGATTTTGAGAGGGAGCATTGTTCAGATGTCAATGCCAAATGTCATCAACAACATGGTGAATGCCTTCCACATTGACATGTGACTCCAACATGTGTTACACATTACACAGTTATTTGGTTTGATTTTGTTATATATTTGTTAATTTTGAAACAATTTCTTCTATTATAATAAACAAGAACACCAAAACAAATTTTTTTCAACCCCTTTCAGTCAGAATTAACTTAGTAGTTAATATATATATATATATATATATATAATACCATAAAGACCAGTCAAATATACAGTTAGTCAGAAAAGTATCAATAAATTAAAAGTGTTTTATACCTGACAAATAAATTGTTTAATCTGATAATTATTCATACATTTTAACATATTTAACAAATCTTTTAAAATTTCGATGTATTCTATATTGTGCAAATTTGTTTATGTTCAGTCTCCCAAATATAACTCCTACATAAATCACACCCACACATTAAGTTAACATTTCACTACTTTTTATATACTGTAATGGTTAATTTAGTTGAAAATTCTTATTATTAAAAGTTCATCTTTGACAAAAAAGAAAAATATAAAATAATACAAAGTTTTGAAAAGTCAGAAATACTGCATGTCTAAAGATATGAAATGATCACAGATACACATTACCAGAATTATCTGCCTCACTAAGATACCCAGGTAACAACAAAATTATTAATCTGAATACAAAATTTTTTATAGCATTTAATATTAATCATCAGACTTTCCAAAACTCAAAACTTTCTTTTTCATTAGATGAAACTATTATCAGAGAAAAAGTCCTTTTTTGTAGACCTTATTGTAATGCTTTAGTGACACAGTACATAATTTTTTAATTTTAGCTAACTTGAAAAATAAGAAAAATTAACCTGCTAGTACACCTTCAAGTAGGTGTTATAGCTACAAAGAACAAATATCAATTAGATAATTCAAATAGTTGAAATAATTGAGTAAGAATAAAAGATTAAAATTTTGACTAAAACTTTGAAAACAATTATTTCAAAACTGCATTTTCAGAGTTATGACAATAATATAGGCAAAATGTAATATCATCAGAGGAACAGTTTTTAAAAACTGCAATCCCACAATAAATTTAACACTTTAATTTTAAAAATCATTGTCAAGTTCATACAATACAGCTTATTCAAATACAGCAAAGCCCAGATTTAGCAGATTCCTGTACTTAATAGACAAAACATCCCATCCTAGCAAAGTAATAAGACTATTAATGTATTTTTACCTTGATTAAGTAAACACACTCTTCTACAAACAATGGACAAATATTTCAGTACTTTTTGGTTAACAGAATGCCAGAAGACTATTACAAAAGACTATTGCATTTAACAATTTAGCCCATGCAACCGTGCCTGCTTTGAGTAGCCTACTTGACTGTTCATGGAGTATGTACTTGATGTTATATAGTTTTAGAGGATGGGGCTCACCCACCCTATCTGGGTGCTGAGTTGCAAGTGATAACAAGCACCAAGGTGCACACGCAAGCAAGGTGCTTCATGTATTCTACATGAAGCATGTAGAATAGACAGTAGACTGATGTGTGTTAAAAACTGACCAGCAGAGATGAATATCATGTGAAGAGTCAACAATCCTGGAGGTGGTATGAAACTCCTCATTCAGAGCTTGAATCTTACCAATTCCTGACATATCAGCTGGTATCCCATTAACCGAAAAGTACCAATCTTTCCTATCCTTCTTCTACAAAATTTCTAAGTGGACAATATACTAGATTATATATTTCATCATAAATATCATTATAAAAAAATACCATTATCATCTTCAATGCCAATGATGTGTAGAATTTCTATGTGTCACTCAATTTCAACAAAACATGTTTACATCAAATACTGATAGATTGATTTAATATTTCTCCATTGCATAATGGAAGGTATTTAAACATCTCATCAATTTGGAAGGAAATAATAAGTTCTAAATGGAATAAATTTAAAGTCAAAAGTTGGAAAAGTTACAAACATTCTGCTTAAGAAGCCTAGAGTATAATCACTAATCAGTTATCATTTTTAAAATTATCCATAATTCACTTCTATATAATCTGATATTTTTATTTTTGAAAATGAATTGATGTTAGTAACAAGGGTGCCCACAGGGAAAAACCAGAAAGGACACTTGCTTCTTTTATGATTTGCTTTAGTTTTTTTTTTCTTTCTTTGCTTTATTACATAAATAATTTTACAAACAGATATTTTGTAATAGTAAATTTATTTTTATAATTGTTATACTGAAGTAACTAAAATCTGGGAGATGGTCCCTTGAGCTCTCTTTAAAATTCTATACAACAGCTAGGCTATTTAAAACAGTGGTTCTTAACCTTTTTATACTTGCGGCCCACCAAATATTTCACAACTTTTTTGTGACCCCCATTTTTTTAATAATTTATTTGGTTTCATTGCTTCATTGAAGAGAACTACACCGCATATGAAATTTCTTGAACTTCTATGCTTATGAACCCATATTTGATATAATCACGATTGTATTTTCTAATTTTAATGTTACTTAATTTTATATCTTCAGTTTTAGGACTTGTGGTTTTTTCCATTGCATTTTTTTCATTGTATCGTCATAGGAGCTTTCACTAGAATTTTCTTCACTATATTTTCTTTCTGAAGGTCCTGGTCCGCAATTACTTACATTAAAAAATGTTCTAATGTTCCTTTCTGTTTTTTGCTCATTGTTATGGGTTAATTATAAATAAATAAAACTAAACACACAATATAAGAAATAAATGCACTATTATTCGATCCAAAGTCAATGCTAAAACTAAACTAAAACTAAAACATTTAAATTTTCAAAGCCTACTATTTTTTCTAATTATTTTTAAAATTCCAAGCATTAATAGTTTCTTAGAATTACTTTGGAATAATAGTTACTAAATACTGCAGTGTAAGTAGCATATTTGCATTTATTTCTTCTGTACTAACAAAGTTATATATAGGAAGAAATAAATAAATAAAAGAAAACTAAATACAAAAACTTTATCTTTCTTATTTCACTTTTCAATACGATATTTGGTTATACATTAATTTTCTTTTTATTGTATTCTGAAGGAAATTTTGCATAATTTGGCAGCCCCTGGTAAACTTCTTATGGACCGCCAGGGGACCACAGCCCCCATTAAGAAACAATGATTTAAAAGACTTTGTGCTTCTTTTGGCAAGTTGGAACTTTTACATCTGTTTTTATACTTTCATATATTATTTCACTATCATAAAAACAGATGAATATAGTTGAAGTAAAACTCTGTTTAAAAAACACAATCTTAGTGAAATCAATCAGTTGGTTAGTTGATCTAAATCATACAGTATGTTTTGTCCTCCAGTAACAAAATCCTGCAGATGTCTTTGATTAGCAAGAATAAATTTTATCCATAATGAATACAAACTTTTCAAAAATATTTCTGTACATGCCAGAAGTTTTTATCTGTATTACACATAGAACAAAGAAATATGTTTCTACAAGCAGAGAAATCAATCAATCCTGTTTACAATTTAGGACGATCAGCTGATAATACGTGACAAGGTCGTTTGATTTTTGCATCATCATTCAGAATAGCAGGAAAAAAAGGCTATAGTCTTTTTTGTGCTATACAATGTTTTAAAAAACACCGCAGACTGAATTTAAGTAGGAAGATCCGTAAAATTATCAAACTATGACAGAATCAAAGCATTTATGTTAGATAACATCAGCAACATTTTCAAACAGCAAACAAATATATTAGTTAAAATAATGAATTTCATTTTTATAAATAATTTTATCTAATTAATACAAATAATAATAATAATATAATTTTATGTTCTAATATTAACTGCATTAAATTTAAAAAATTCTAACATGTTTCAAAATACAGTATATGATTCATCTTAAAAACCAAATGGTGAACAATTACCAAACTATATATAAATATTTGTTAAGTAATTTCCCATTAATTCTCAACTTTTGAAATTATCAAGAAATTTTGAAATTCTTCAAGGCTACACTTTTAAATCCAGAAAAAAATAAAGGAAATTTTTTAAAATAATAATTTCAAAAGCTTATAGCTGAACATATACATTATATTTGTTTTATATTTAAAACAGTGTGGTTAAATAATTATTGTATATCTTCTAAGATTATTATTTAAAAAATATAACAATATTCACAGCTAAAACTCATTACCTGAAGATTATATATGAAACTGTTGAATTCAAGAATGAGATATCTAGGATTTAATAATCCTAATCTTCCTAAAATAGGAAAAAATATTGATAATCCAAACCAATAACGAGTAAAAAGAGGTAAACTTCGAAACCAGTCCCCTATGTCGCTCATGTCTGGTTACATCGACGAATACGCTTATGGTCAATCACGATAGCCCGAAGACTCCATGCTATTACGTGGCTTTGATTAACAGGTCGGTTGCTATGATACGTTATTTAATTAAAAATTAGTTTTTAAGGTTTAAGTATTTTATTATTTTCATTTGATATGTTTTAATTATAAATATATAAAAACTTTTATACGTGTATTTAAAAAAAAAATGAAAAGTCATATTGTAAAAGTCGCCTTTTTGTATTTTTACTCTTTCCTCCCTGTAGAGGGCCTTTTTACCAAGCCCATGTGGGTTTGGACAGGCCCACAATGGGGAGCAGGCTGGTGAAGGTTGGGGTACCCATTATTTTCCGAGACGGATCACCTGCTAAAAAATTTCTTGAGTTTTTCGACCCATTCGGAATCGGATCTGATCACGGGTCCTTCGAAGCGGTAAGCTCACGTCTTACTGCCTCGGCCGGTAACTTTTTATATTTTAATAACTTCATATGTTTGATGATAGACAATGCTTGTTCTGAAATTAAACTATTTTTAAATGTATACTCATTGATCAAAACAAAAATATATACGTATCAAGAAGGAGACGTTGGAATCGAAAAAAAAATTATTATTAGTGCGAACGATAGCAAAGAAACAATTTTAAAGAAAGTTTTAGTACCTTGTAGGACCTTGCCTGGATACATGTAGCGATACAGTCGATCATTAAAACATACAGCGTCTTATCTACCCTGAAACAGATTTGTCCACAGATGTTGCAACTGCCGCTTCAAATCACTTACACTCGAAGATGGCGACGCTAGCCTCCCATCTGGACTCGCCAATGCTCGTTTTGCGACAAATCTGGACAGAAGGCAAGAAAACATGGCAATGTGATGGAGACACACCTGGAAAATGGGCGATATTTGCAGCCCTTCCACTAAAGATAATACATGAAGACACAGGATTTCTTAAAAATACCACTTTGCCCATAATGTCTTTCTTACCACTACTACTATTACTTCTTCTTCTTCTTCTTCTAGTGTTTATATGGAGATACTAACACTGATAGGCTCTTTCTCCGACGAGGCTTACCACTACTAAAGCTGACCATAAGTTATAAGAGATGGCTTTCCAGACCAGCACAACAGCAATTGGGATAGTGTGCCTCTCAACAATAAAGGCGGGATTGAAGCGCTCATCTGTGGTCTTCCACACTAACACGATGTCTTCTGTTCTCGGATAGAATTCGTTGCTAAAGACGATGTCAGTTCGAACTATCAATAGCTTATGATTCTCTGTCACAGCACCATTGTGTGAGGGTCGTAAAAGAGCGTCGAAATTGCGACTAATTATGAAACTTTTACGTCGGAGAGTTTTGAAGATAGAATCGGGTCAAGACGGTGTGTTAGTGACAGAACCCAGATGGGACGAAAACTTTTTTCCGTATTGTAAAACAAACGCGACGCGATGATAAACAGCAGGGGGGAATGTCGACAGAGAGAGAGAGAGTCGAGATGCTCGCGAACAAGTGTCGGGTCGAAGCAATCGAGAAAAAGAGGGGTTTAAGAACAAAAGGGACATTTGTTAAGTCCGAACGCGGAAGGGGATAAATGGCCACAAGAATATCTGGTGGACCGTTTAAGTTCAAAGATGTCAGAGAGAAGAGCCATAACGGAGTAAAATACGAGCGCGAACATTAAAAGCCCCGTCATCACCTCTCCGACCTTTTCCCGACCCGGATCGGTCTCGAGTTTCGCCTAGAAACAAAAGAATGACCAATCGGGTTAAGGGAGAGAGTGAACAGGACCAATCAAAAGGGTGAGATTCGGGGAAAATCTTATAAAATCCGAATCTCAAGGACAAAAGGGCCGATTCTCTCCAAGACGAGTGTCAGGAAGTTCGCCAGATCATCCGCACACGGACATCCAGACTCCGCCGCATACCCAGCAGAAGGAAGTGAGGACCCAATCATCGGACATCGCCCGTCAACCATCGGACCCTTCAACGAGCAAGAAGGCACCAACTTCACGTTTCCCTGAGATTATATTGCAGATGGACATCCACTTCTCTGTGCGTCTGCAACCGAACCTGTGATTATTTTAGCTTCATATGACAATTCTTGATTGTTTCGGACGAGTTCTGTCATGACGTCCCTTCACCGTACACAACCATCTTTGCACAGCAACCACTGATTTTCGTACCTCATAGCGTGAAGCAATGTGCTCTCGTTCCCAAACAGATAAGAAGTCGGCCATCTTTTGTTGCCGCTGCGCGTGCAACGTCTCACGGTCATTTCTTTCTTTCTTTCCTTCTCTGATATGGAGATTGTCTCACGGTCATTGTCCATACTTGTTGCCGCTGCGCGTGCAACGTCTCACGGTCATTTCTTTCTTTCTTTCCTTCTCTGATATGGAGATTGTCTCACGGTCATTGTCCATACTACCAATGCAGGAATCATAAAATTCCAGTGAATAATGTATAAGCATACGTAAATTTTATTATGATTACATGCAGTGCCGGCCCGAGGCAAGTTTTAGGATGGAGCGAGATCCTATTATGGCACCCGGGGGTGGAACCTCACCCACGCACTCGACTCACGCGCGTCTCAACAGATAACATCATTCACATACTGGCCACACGCTTGCAATTAAAATATCGAAAAGTGAAAAAAAAAATTTTTCCTTTAATTTTTTTACCACTGAGGCGCCCCGTAGGACTTAGCGCCTGGAGCGGCTGCTCCGTTCGCCCTATGGTAGGGCCGGCTCTGTTACATGATTATTACAAAAATTTACTCAGCTTTCTCTAGTTATTTTCTACCCACCCTGAGAATTTATTCTAATTCGTCCTGTCTCAAAGTGAATATTAATTATATTAATTAATTATTTTAATAAAATCTCTGGAGGCTAAAAAAGCAAAACATTAATTATAGGCAATTAAATTTAGACGCGAATGGTAAGAAATGCGATAAGAACAGATTGTACTGTGCATAATCAAATATAATAAGTTAATAACAACGGAATGAAGTTTGAAGAGAAAATGGTATAAAACAGAAGAAGAATGCATATCATGAAAAAATATGTAGTAATTCTTTTGCATTTTACATCCAATAAAAATAAAGAAAAAATAATATTAGTGGAAAATCTTAATCGTTTTAAAACACTTGGATGGCTTTTTCCTGTTTTATTAATTAAAAAAGCAGTTCTTGACGATAAAAATTTCGGAATACAGACCTTCAAGCAAAAACTGAAAAAAAAAAACAAAATTGCTATTCAATTAAAACTGTATTCTGAAAATTATAATTAAGGAGTTATTTGAAAATATGTTGGCTTCTGATTCATCTTTGGATCGAACATTTCTGACTCCTAATTTTCCCCATAAAAAAAATTATTTCAACTAAAACTAGATAAATATAGTTTTATAAAATTCTACACTATTATTTCTAAATCTGCCAATTTGTGAGTTATTTTTAATTAAGATTTCTTATTAATTTTATAAATATTTAATTTACTTAATGAATATAATACATGTTCAATCACGATAGCCCGNTCCGTGACAGAGTTGTGCGGCCTTAATAAATTTCAAGATGTCGGCAGCTCCAAGTCAAGGTGGGAAAGGATGTTTATTTATAGCGAAAAACCTTAAATCTTGTTAAATTTATAAAATTATATAAATATTAACGACTTAAATTATAACTTTAAACATTCAAATAATAAGAATACGATTTCGATTATTTCTGATAATTAATGATTTCAATCAATGATCTAAAAACATTATTTTTTTACAATATTAAAAGCAGAAAGATTAATTTCTTACCTCAAAATATTTATTTACGTTAAATTACATGTAATAATACCGTGAAATTGTTTGATAAGTATTCCTTATTTAAAACATGGTAAGTGTTTCAGTTACATTTTATATATATGGGTATATTAGTTACCTGTGATTGTCATTACTTGTTTTTAAATAAATACATATAAATGTATCCCATTGAACATTGTTTCAAATGTATTGGAATCAAATATATGAAAGCTACATACAAAAAAATAAAACTAGAAGCACATGCACTCATTTTTCAAAACAATGCATGTATCAAGTTATTCTTGATAAAAATCTACAGCTAATGCTGTTGATATGGTTTGCTAGTGAAAGCCTTAGGGTGCGACTATGCAGATGCAAATTTAGAGCGAGTGAGAGGTTGCGAGTGATTTAGTTTTTGCAAAGGAAAACCATGCACAAACGAGAAGCGAGAAATAACGCTAGCAAGAGCGAATTTCTGGTTTTCGCACATATCTGACAGGTTTTGATATTTATCGAATCTCGCCTCTTCTCGCCACATATTCTTGTCGCTTGGAAAATTCGCTTGCTCATGTCTGCATAGTCGAATCCTTAAAGTTAATTTCATATAAAAATGAAATAATTCTGATTAAGTTCAAGAACTACAACACATTTCATTTACAAATGAAGGAATTTCATTCCTTTTTAAAAAAAAAGGATTGTGAATGAAATTTATTGTAACCGCATCTTTAAAAATGATATCCAATTGGATTTAAAATAATTTATATTTTAACTGTAAAATGTATAACTTTTTCATTATATGTAATTAAATATCTTTTGATCCAGCTTGTTAGTCAATTTTAAATTATACAGTAAATGTTAAAAAGATTGAATATCTAAATACACTACTGGAATTTATATAATAAAATAAAAAATATAAAAAGTTACAACAAAAGTACATTGTAGATAATTATTAAATTTTTAAATGTCCTTTCTAACAAACTTCAATTTACATTGTATTATACTTTGTTTGGATTCTTTAAATTATTATTATATTTCATTCTGATCACATTTCAAGTCTAGTTTTATGCCAGGAAAGAAGTAAAGTCACAAACTCAAGCTGGAAGTTTAATATTTCAAGAAGAAGGAACAAATTTGATATCTTTAAATCCTTTATTGTTTGAGAAACTGTATGACTGAGCATCATTACAATAGAATATGATTCAGTAGTATTCAACTTTAATATCAAATTTGTTTTAACCTGTAAATTCACGAGATTCTTTTTCTTAGAATTTTATTTTTTCAAATGATCACATCTGTAACTGAAAAAAATTAATAAATAACCACTGATATTAATCTATATTTAATCTGTTGCTAACAACAAAGTTATTCTTTTGTTAGGAAGCTGTATTTAAAAATCCAGCTTATTGACATGTTTGAGTTTATGTAGTTAGACTAATAATTTATACATTTTGTATAAATTATTTGTCTAACTAAATTCTTAATATGAGAATATATATCAGAAATGTAAGGGATATTTGTTGTAAGTAGTTTGAAAGGATTCTATGAAATTATACTCTGGATTTATTTCATGTATTTAAAATGAATTATATTTATGTTTCAGAAACTAGTAATACTGTACAAAATGTATAACATTAATTAATTCATTTTAGTTACATAAAATGGTTCAAGATAAGAATATAAAAATATTATTATTGATTCATGTAAATGAAAGGTAAAGATGTCTTCTGTTAGAAACATTAATGATACATGTGAACAATGTGCATGTAGACCCAATCAAATTTCAACTATGAACATAGAAAAAGTTATGATATGATTAGCAGTATACTTTGTCTGTCTTACCTCTTGGATTATCTTCAATTATTCATTGGAAAGAGAGTTGAATGGACATAAATCTAGATAGAGACAGATACTGAAGTTGCATATTTTTACCATCTCACTGTTAGCACTTTGTATCATCTAAGCCTTCTTGGCTTTTATAGTTTATATTGCAATGATTAATAAAGAGATTGACAGTTTTCATTAAAATTTGAAGATAATTTTCTTTTCAGATTTATAATTTGTATTTCAATAAAAGATTATCATCTGATTATAATCTATTTTTATACACAAACTTTTAAAACTAGCATTAATTGCTCTCATTGTCATCATCAATTATTCACCATGAACAGTTCTTATTATAAAAATACTTAACAATATTAAAAATATAATATACCCTATTTACTCGCCTATAAGACAAACTTACATATAGGATGGTGTGTGACTTTAAAGATCAAAATAAAGAAAATTAGATTTTTTTTAATACAATTCTAATTTTATTTTGTTTAATCACAAATAAAATATTAAATGCACATAAATGCACACATTGTCCCGGGAAAGGATGTTTATTTATAGCGAAAAACCTTAAATCTTGTTAAATTTATAAAATTATATAAATATTAACGACTTAAATTATAACTTTAAACATTCAAATAATAAGAATACGATTTCGATTATTTCTGATAATTAATGATTTCAATCAATGATCTAAAAACATTATTTTTTTACAATATTAAAAGCAGAAAGATTAATTTCTTACCTCAAAATATTTATTTACGTTAAATTACATGTAATAATACCGTGAAATTGTTTGATAAGTATTCCTTATTTAAAACATGGTAAGTGTTTCAGTTACATTTTATATATATGGGTATATTAGTTACCTGTGATTGTCATTACTTGTTTTTAAATAAATACATATAAATGTATCCCATTGAACATTGTTTCAAATGTATTGGAATCAAATATATGAAAGCTACATACAAAAAAATAAAACTAGAAGCACATGCACTCATTTTTCAAAACAATGCATGTATCAAGTTATTCTTGATAAAAATCTACAGCTAATGCTGTTGATATGGTTTGCTAGTGAAAGCCTTAGGGTGCGACTATGCAGATGCAAATTTAGAGCGAGTGAGAGGTTGCGAGTGATTTAGTTTTTGCAAAGGAAAACCATGCACAAACGAGAAGCGAGAAATAACGCTAGCAAGAGCGAATTTCTGGTTTTCGCACATATCTGACAGGTTTTGATATTTATCGAATCTCGCCTCTTCTCGCCACATATTCTTGTCGCTTGGAAAATTCGCTTGCTCATGTCTGCATAGTCGAATCCTTAAAGTTAATTTCATATAAAAATGAAATAATTCTGATTAAGTTCAAGAACTACAACACATTTCATTTACAAATGAAGGAATTTCATTCCTTTTTAAAAAAAAAGGATTGTGAATGAAATTTATTGTAACCGCATCTTTAAAAATGATATCCAATTGGATTTAAAATAATCACCGTACACAACCATCTTTGCACAGCAACCACTGATTTTCGTACCTCATAGCGTGCAGCAATGTGCTCTCGTTCCCAAACAGATAAGAAGTCGGCCATCTTTTGTTGCCGCTGCGCGTGCAACGTCTCACGGTCATTTCTTTCTTTCTTTCCTTCTCTGATATGGAGATTGTCTCACGGTCATTGTCCATACTACCAATGCAGTAATCATAAAATTCCAGTNAATTTATATTAATATGTATCACTTAAAAAAATTTTAATGAAGATATTTATCTTAATTATAAAAATATACTAACATGATTTTTAATTTTTGGAACCTAACCCTCCTTTTGGTATTAATTCTTTGTTTCGTATAACACGGATTTGCATAACACGGCAATTTTTTGGAACGTAACTACCGTGTTATACGGGGGTTACCTGTACAGGGATGGGCAAGCAAAAGTTCAGTGGGAGCTGAAATGTAGGTTTTGCAAAATGCATGGGAGCTGCAGTTCTGTACTTTTTTTATTCTGTACTACATTTACATAATTTTTACAATTTTATTANTTTTTTAACCCCATTCCCGATAACCCGGCATTTTCACAAACTCGGCCACCCTTCGGTCCACATTAGGCCGAGTTTTCGAGGTTCTACTGTATTATTATTTTTATTTGTAATTTAGTATGTCTGATGCCTGCATTGGGCCTTTCGATTGGTCTACAATATAATTTGTTAATGTAAAGTTGGACAATTGGAAACCTTTTTTGCCAATTCTTAACAGTCGAATTCACTCTTCATCAATTACACTTATGAGTTTCTCCGAATTCTGATTTCCAAATAATCATCTGTTTTCATGTGGATTAAAACTTATATCGGGCTCCCATTTTGGATTTTGTGATTTTGAAATTTCAAATTGGAATTCAATTCAAAAGCTTTGCTTTTCCTATTGCTATTTGTCTTTACTCCTGACAATACATAAGAATGATTCAAACAACCCAGATAAAATACTTTTGTTTTTAAACACCAGAAGGTGAGAATCCAGTAAAATATGCAAATACAGTTCACAAAAATTATTACAAAAATGAAAAGAATCATTCACTTGCATGTATAGGACAACCTAGGTTTTTGAAGCAGTGAAAAATGAATAAAAACCTCGTCTTATATATGAGTAAATATGTCATCAAAATGTTGATAAAATTATTTAAATATAAGTGCCATGTTTTATTATTATATAAAATGTCCTAAAATAATATGAAGATAAAAATGTTTATTCATTTCCTGATTGATAAGATAAAGCATAAAATATATTATCAAATATAAACATCCAATAATCTGTTGATCAAATCATCTGTTAATCAAATGATTGCCAGAATATGTTGGGATATACTGTATATGACCAGGGTGTCCAAGCTCCTTGATAGTCCGAGCCATTTTTCAAAATTGAAATTTTTCGCAAGCCGCAATTAAATACGTATTAAAAAGGTATGCAAAAATTCCAGATTACAAATTA